ACTTGAGGTAAATTAAACGTATTTGTCACTTTTTGTTTAGCCTCTTGATTATCCGCCAATATTGTTAATTCACTGTATTGTAGAGTTGGCATGAATTTCTCATCGGTCTGTCACATAATATCTCATTTTTTACTTTTTACTTCTTTGATTTTGTTGTGGCCCCCAATTTAAAGTCTGTTAAGACTTCCAGTGACGTCTTAAGGTAGGTTGAATCTGGTCAAAACATAATGGACGCTTAATTTTATTGATGTATTGTCACGCAAATACGCGTACATAGGCACGTCCTGGAATGTGTGAAAAGGTATCCACGATGAAAGGTAACAGTTTAAAATGCTACTATTAATCGATTTGCCTCACGGCTAGCTGGAAGTTGCTGTCTTTCGGGCAAACCACTGACCATGGCAAGTTCATCTGCGACTCCTCGGCGATAGCAAGCTACGTAATTGGCTGCTGCCTCAACTCCTTGCGAGTATGTATGTTGTCATCGTCTAGATTGACGTCTACTTTATTCATTTAGCAGAATGATTGGCATAGTTCATGATTGCCATTTCAAGTTAGCCCTGAAAAGAATCGCCATTCTTGCAGTTACACCAAACATGTTTAAGGCAATATGTATCAGTACCGTGTTATTCGAGTCCTGCGTGTTTGTGACCGACATTTGTTACTTTGGAAACCAACTTACACCTTGTTTATTTCGTTATCCACACCGCCACATTTCCAAATCGGAATACGTCCTTCGGCCTATAGTGTGTCAGCATAACTTTCGTATCGTCTGTATTCTTGAATCTCTGTCTCAGCCCCTAGGCTATGCTCAATACAGTGAAAGCAGTACATGACCATACCTCGACAAAAATTGTCTTTGTTGCAAATTTGCACATTTTGTATGACATTATAACCGATTCTACTCTTGTGGCAAAACAGCACAAAGTACCCAAGGGAGAAATGAGACTGGAACAACGTGTTCCTAACCACTTAATACCTAAGTAAGAGAGCTGTACTTTAATGTGACTCAACTTTATTCACATTTTCAGGTCTAACAATTCACTGTCGGTTACAGAAGCGAATGAGTTTCGGTCCCGAAGACTCTGGTGTGCTTGATTTCAAGACAGAAGAAGAAACGATCGAATATCTAGAAGGACTGGGTCCACAATTCAAGTACGGATGTCATCGCGAACGAAACCCCATCCGTAGGCTTTGACTACCTATGCGCGTTTTCGTGTACTGAGCAACACCTCACCTGAGTATTGCATTCGATTTTTCTTCTGTAGAATGTCATTCGTTGGGACGCTGGTACGCAAGTTTCAAGCGCAACTTTGCTGAATCAGAAAATATTTACAGACAGAATTGTTTCAGTCGGCGATTTGCGGACAGTTGTATCAAATATGCATCGTACAAACTTCTAGGTGTTGAGGGAGTCAAACGCAACGATTCACAGGCCTTCGAGGCTTTCAAATTTGGATGCCATGTCTGTGAAGATGCGAGGTGCTGCCAGGTTGGACTACGCCAATATTTCTGCACTGCAGTTTTTATTTGCGGTTAATGGCTGACCAGCCTTTACCTCATATTCATGCAAAAGTCGAGCGATTTGAAAGTAGGATCTCAAGTTTAGTATAAAATACAAAAACCAACCGACTTGGGTTAACGGCGTTTCGTTTAGCAATGAAGTCAACAAGACGTCATTTGAGAACTACTAAGTGAGCTTGTTTAGTTTGTAATGCAACCCTAAGTGCCTCTCAAGGATGTGCGTCGTTCAGACATGACATACGCTTGTCCATATCAATATTTTTTGGGTATTTTGAGTTAGGTACGCTTTTGGGGCAACCTTATATTGATCGCTAATCGATGCTACCGACGCTGTAATTTGCAGGAATGCTGCGGCTCGAACTCATTCCGCCTTACTTCCATGTGTGGGTATTTCCGGCCCCTCTTTGAATAGACATTAGAATGCTGGAATAGGAGTGGAATAGTGGTGGAGCAGATTAACTGGGGTCACAAAAGTAGATGGAAGTTAAAATTAAAAGGGAAAAGTCACCGAAGGACATGCCACTGTGTAGTTTTCAGTAGGCGCTAACTTGTGCCGCCGGTACTATGGCGCCGTATCGTTACACATAATTTAGTCCTGGCTTTTAGCTTTTACCAAATGTTTTGTTTAGGCCGCCGGTGAACTACTAGTGGAGGGGGCAGTTGCGGAGAAGCCTACTGTCAGTTCAATCATCGATTACTTCCTTCGGAGCTGTAACATGAACCTTCCAAATGGTTGTTTTTACCTTGGCGCAATGTACCATAAACAGGCGATCGAAAAACGAGAGAACACTATCGATACGGCAGGCTCAGCCAATGATCCCTCCTACGCTAGCAAAGCCGCACTGCAAAAGTCCGCCGTGTTAGCTTGGGTCAAGGCGTGTGAGGGCGGACACGAACTGGCCTGCCGCAACGTTGCCCGCGCTTACCGGCTCGGAGAAGGGGTAGAGAAGGACGAGGAGGTAGCAGCGTCATATTCTCTGGAGGCAAATGTTTCTTCCAAGTAGATATTTATTTTAAGCAAGAAAAACACCTTGTACAAATCAAGCCTTGTCATTCTTCTGCTATGCACACCTCATACTTAGTGGTCGTTCATCCTTGTATAATATGGACATTTTCACTGATTTTCAACGTTTCTGTTAATCTACAATAACAAAAAAACTCGTTATAAGATGATATTTACCATTTTGGTAGCGTGAACATGTCATAGAAACTGCGTTACCTAATAACCGACACAAGGTTGGCAAACGCAACTTACTCTTTTGCTGACGTATTGAAACCTGGCGGTCCGCAGATGAGACACAAAGTGGAGGCAGCAGTCACGTCGTCAAAATGACCGAAAAATTTGTAACACAGCGCCTCCCCAACACGACCAATGGCGCTATTGGGCAGACACGGCACGCTGTCTTCTGGTTGGATTTCCAACCAATGGTGAACTGCAAATCTGTAAAGAATGTGCTTATGAATGTCGACACATCATGGACAACTATTTGGTGGACGACGTATTACCTATTCCCGGCACACGAGGCGAGATTTTCAAGTTCTTGACTGAGTATCACGTCTTGAAGTTTGCGATTAAACCATAAAAGGCGGACACTTGTCTGGTGAAGATTTATGATTCGTTGGATCACGGGCAGAAAGGGTGTTACACCGCTACCCGCGCATAGCATATATATGCGGTTCCAAGCCCTAAATTCATCACCAACGCAGTTTAAGAGAACACTGGGTTCGATGCAGCCCATCGGTAGACTAACTTCGACGGTTGAACCTTTCGCATAAAACACTAGGAGTCAATAAATGTTTACACCTAAAATTTGCAACAGTACGTTTGCGAATGAGCAGCGGTAAATTTCAGATAAGCAGGTTAGTGGCCAAACGTGCTTATTGTGAAAATTGGCTCCCTCTCCTCAAAACCGATATTTTTGCACAAAGGTGATGTCTAACCTTTGATTCTCTACACACGTTAGTATCGTTTTCGCGGTATTGCTGAATAAAGAGGGTACTACAGCACTACCGCTCCAAGGTTTGCGCATTTATAGCCTCGTATACAGATATTGCTTGGAAAACTTCTTCCCCTCTTCTTATAACGGAAAAAAGGTAAAATTGGCAGTATTGCCGGTAATCTATATTTTAAGTTGATTTAATCTATTGTGGGTAATTCGATTTTAATAAGCAATACCTAATTTAACCAAAAGAACCAAGCATTTCATACCCCAGTGATCTGAAAAACCGAACCGGTGGGGGGAGCGAGGCAACCAACCCAGAGAAAAACGCTAACCTTCTTTGGTTTTATCCAAAATTGTGGAAACAGTGCCATTTTCGTAGACTTTGATGAGGAGCTCGAATTCGACTGCGCTGTCAGCTTCTCGTAAAAAATTCGTACATGTAGGAGTGTAGGGACGCACGTGAGAAACACCTTGAGCAAAGAGGAGTTTGAAGTGAGCATGAAGATAAGTTAAGGAGGAATAAACCTACACACTCACCACTAGAATCCTTTACCCTGAGAAAAATATGATGTAAGAGAGGAATTGGGATATAAGTATTCTCTTCTGGCCACCTTAAACGGATGCACCTGTAGGGCGATGAGCCAAGTCGTTTCGAATTGGTTACCACACAATTCCAATACTCAGCTGCTTGAAACAAGATCCTTGTGAGTTATACTAGACGATAAAACACCTAGTAGGCAAAGAAACTTACAGCTAGCTGGTGAGCAAAGGTCATTCAAGGATATGATTTTATGTTCTAGGATATCGTTTTGTGACGTGAGGAGCATTTTGGATGAATTATTGGTGCATCGAAGGTCAATGTGAACACACGGGTCACGCACAAGGCCAACGGAGTGTGGATGAATACGTATGCTCCTGAGATCAGGTTCTAATTCCGGCAGCAGCTCTGTAATCAGAAATTCAAGCAGCTAGGAAAATAAGCAGAACAACGGCGTATTGTGCATACAAGAGACAACTGAGTGAATTATAAATGGACTGGGAAGTGTGTTCTATCAGCCACGTCCCCGATGTGTCCAGCTATAAAGATCCCCCCATCTTCAAAAAACTTCGTCACCTGCTAATCGAAAATCCGTAGTAAAGGTCAACCTTGGTGCATGAAGAGGAAACCTTCATCATGGACTACGAATAAGTAATGCAAATAGTGGCATTTTAACGCAAACCAAATTAATACAAAAGCACAATATTTGCATTTTGCAGCGGAAAAATCTTACTGATTTTGTGCAACGAGTACTCCCTATGTAGTAGTACGCGGACCCGTAAAATTCTTCCCTGAATGGACTGACAGTCAGGTGTAAAAGTTGCAAGGGCGTGATCGGTCGGTGAAATGGAAACCATTTGCTTATTCAAGGCAATGTTCAAGGTCGCCATAGACTGATCGGGTTTGGTGGTCCAGGACAACCTGCAGTATGCCAAAAAGAATTGAACAACGAGGCTTGGGAGTCTGTCTGAAACGAAATCAAATTCTCGACCGCGGTTAATATACTAAAAACAAACGAATAGGCACAAGGTAGCTTTGTGTCACAGCAAGGTGGCAGTAAAATGTCGAACACGGATGATGTAAACTAAGAGAAAATTTACGGTCACACGATCGCTTGGAAACAATACTGGTGTTCATTTAGTGCAATGATGTGTTCAGAAAGATTATTACGACCGTGAACTGAGTAAAAGCATGTTGAATAAGGAAATTTATAATGAATAGTCGCAATGTCAAATTAAGTTAATGCATGGAAACGAACATAATCAGTTATGCAAGTTCGGCATTAGTACAGTGACTGCTCACAGAACATTGAGACGATAAGCTAAGTAATGACCACAAAATGGATTACCCGTACTAAGGTATAACGTACGTTGGTTTCCTCATCATCTGATTCTTGAATAAATGTGGCATTGGTATTACATTCATCGTTGGGGAGAGGACTAAATTAAAGAAAATAAATACATTTTGGACCCACTTAGTTGCTTCATGATTCGAACTGTCCGCTTGAATTTTAATTTAACCGAAAGTCATGCTGCTTCTTGTGAGAGCACGAGTGGCCGGTGGTGTGATTGTGGACCAGAATATGTGACCCGACAACACGGGCTGGCGGAAATTGACTTGACCGAGTATCGCCATGTAAACAGTACAGCAGTACTAGGCACTTCGCAAACTGCAAGTTCGTCGACTGATTATCTGCAGTACTTTTGCGATGCCCAAACTTTAGAATTAAGGCAAATGCCGTTTAAACATTTAACATCACTCTTAAAAATGGCCTAGTTCCAAAAATCTGGAAGGCGAAGAGCAACACGTAAGTGCGGTCATCGTAGTAATGTACAACATGTAAGCTACCAAGTAACTGGTTGTGTACCATAGGTAGAACTATCTAAATGAGATTCAAAATATGAGAAGAACGGTCCATCCCGCCACAGCTGTTTCGCACAAACGTCCTGTTGCTTCAAACTAAGTTTGTGTCAATTAAGGGTAAAGAACACAGGTGTAGATATTAATATATGACTTACGATTGGGTCCACGTAGAGAACGGGTGGATTTCACAAGAACACCCTTCTTTAGTCTTGAAATCATATTTACACTTATGTAAGCGTGCGCCTAAAGGCAGAAGTTCTACATTAGCAAATAACAAGAGTAAATCAAAAATTAAACCTAGAGTTACGGTTTTATAGACACATAACAGTATAGACAGAAATCAAACTACAGGAAGCTATCGACATTTACATAATAGGAAACGAGAAATGCTTAAGACAAGAAAACGAATTACCCCAAATTGGAAGTAAAAAAGGCGAAAATTTATAAATAATTGTAGTTTTACACAAATAATTTGTACTTCCAAATGTTGGTTCACCAGAATTCAGCATTTTATCCGATTTATTCGTTACTGATTTAACCAACTGACAGCACTGAATAAGAGACCAAGCTTGTTTAGCCTTCAAAGTATTAACAAATAAAACTGACGAACGATCACGTGAAATTATGACAAACAAAACTAAGGAAATAACTTGGACGATAAAATGTCAATGCAGCAGAATAAAGTTGCTAATATAGTCTCTAAAAGCTACTACGAAATAATTGGATAAGAATTCAACACATTGAGACTTCACATAGGAAGCATGAATTACAAGGAAAACAAAAAAATATGTGTTGGTGAACTGCAATTCGATGATCATGACAACCTTACAAATGGACTGTTTCAAATCAAGATCTTTACCCAAAAAGGGCGCTGGTCACAAAACCCATCAGAGAACTTCACTTCAAACTGGAGTTGGTCACTAAAACTGAGTTTTTATTTTAGCTTTTGAGAAGCATTTTACTGTCGACATACTTCGATGAATCACTTAAGTTACAGGCGGGGTCCTTAATAGGGACGTAGGAACGTAATTACCTTAAGGAGACCACATGAAAAGTATGTGCATATAAGGCTGCAAAAGAGTGGTCGTTCTGACAGACATCTGTTTTCAAGTTTCGGCAAGGCATATTTAACAAGGTCTTCTGGATATCTTAGAAATGGAAACCTCTAAGGGTACTGGGACATGTTTCCCATTCAATTTTACTTATTTTGTAGTTCGGAGACGGATTAATTGGATGGTATTTTTATACTTAGTTCAGCAGCTTGGAAATACCTCAAACTGAGTGCACAAAATCGGTATAGGCATGTTTAAAACACTGCGCTTTTTCGGCCAATTTCCATGTTATGGATAAAAATCAAGAAAAACGTACACATCTAAACGCTTCAGACGCATCAGTTCCGGCATGCTGGGAAATGACCTTAGATCCACCAGGATGAAATTCAGCAAATCGTGTTACGTCGTATACCTCCACTAAAAAAGATAAAAAAATATTCAAGTAAATGTACGAAAAAGTCAAACACGGCAAAAGGTTACACTGAAATCTATCAAAAAGGTAAAAGTAAGCAGTCATGCACGTCCAAGTAGAGTACCATCATTTACTGCTCGAAAGCTAAGATCAACCTAACTACTTGGCAATTGTATAGCAATTTTCATTAGAAAAACCCGGCCGTGAATAACGAAAAAACCAAAGCGTTAGCAGAATTAAGAGAAGCAGTAACACAACAAACACTCCCAACGTTTTCCCTAAATAACTAGGTGATAATACAATGCGCCAATTTCTGGATAATTAGTATGCGTTCTAGTTTTTGTAATAAGCAAGCAGTTCACTCATTTTTACTATGGCCATTTGAATTTACACCGTTTTGAGATTATTTCAAACTAATAACTTGAAAATCAATGTTTCGTTTTCATGGAAGCAACAACGAGTCAGATAACTGATGTGCATCTATGACAATTAAGCTGTTTTTATAGAGATGCGTTTACCCAAACTACAGCTACATAAGATTAAAAACAGCACAAAATGAGATTAATTGGGTCTGACGACGCCTAAAGGCTAATAACTTGTTCAACTGCTTACGCTGGTGATTATTTTGCAATGCAATCCACATGTCATCAATAGAGGTGTGCTTCGATAATTCATCTTCAGAAATTGGGGCATTTTCGGGTTGTAAATCAAGATACTCCGTGCTTCTGGTATAGGAATTCCAGTATCCAATGCCTCTACAGCATATATCAGGAATAACGATCACCAAAAACAATCCTGTTGCCAAGTAAAACTTCGTGCCGACTTATCGACAAACGGTGGCAATATCGAATTTAAATAAAAGAACCTCAGATGCAAATATTGTGAAACATTTGAGTGCAAATTAATACTAAGATATTAGCTTAGAACAAAACTGCACGGATTCTTAAAGATACAGATCTCCAAAACAGTAATGACATGTTCGTTCTTACTGTTGCCAATGTATTGGCGTGATTGAATTGCGATTAAAGGTTCTGAGCAGACCCTGAGGAGTTCAAAAAGTGCCCGAGGTTGGTAAGTTACTTTCCATAGGTTATTTGTAGTCGCAATGTCAGAACCGTAATAAAACCAAGTCAAGTGATTAATTAGGGAGTTTGGTTAAGTGATTTATTATAGAAAAGAAGGGATAAGTTGGGCAGGCGAAACACAGGTATAGACCGTCACGCCAAATCTTTTAGTGTTGCTGTTCACGACGAAATAACCAGACTCACACAAACGTTGGTTTGGTACCAGTCGATATTGACGATGGAGTTACACGTATATCTGGTGGGTTTTGTTCAGAATCCATGTCATTCCTAGAAGAAATTGATGCAGTAAATTGATCGCCAAAAGCCCTACACGGTGTTTCCCACCAAAATAACTTATACCACAGGAAACCTGAAGGTGTAAGCTTTCAGAATTGTTCAAACTTTATTTCAACGACACTAACGACACAGTAGGATAATAGGCAACAAAACTTACACTTATTCAAGATAAATTAAAGACAGAAAAGAAATAGACATATTACGGCGAGTGCGGCAACATTACAAGCCAATAGAAACCTTGATTTCCTGTATGTACCTGATCGGCTGCTAGACATCTAAATGATTTCAAAGGTAACAAACCTATATTGAAAAACCAAATTGAGCAACCAAAGAAAAAACGTCTAAATCTAACAGGTGTGTCGTACTGTTGTGGTGTGGTGTGGTGTAGCGGAATGACAGGCGGCAA